AAAAAAAAAAAAAAAAAAAAAAAAAAAAAAAAAAAAAAAAAAAAAAAAAAAAAAAGAAAGAAAACAAACCCAAAACAAAACAAATAAACCCCCACTCGAGCTTTTCAAACTAACAAGTATTGTCTATAATGTAAATAGTTTAGAAATATGGTAATTAAATAATCTAAAAAACACTCTTACTCTGCTGTACATTTATAAACATAAATATTTACAAAAACTTTCTGCTTTGTTTTAAAGGATGAGGTTTGCAGTTTGTTAATGATCAGAGTCTTTTACTCATATTGATTCTTTGGTGTGTTTGCCAATTTTTTAAGGTTTATTAAAAGTGTTCAACCGTGAATTTCAAGGTAACGGAACGAGGCTACATCACAAGTCCGTGTTATGCACTTTTCCTTCCACATTCTAGCCCAAATGAAAAACAAAGCTCAGTTTGTCCTTCAAACTATTCGTGCACAACACTGAAAATAATAATAATTAAAAAAAAAAAAAAAAAAGGACCAGATTCCCTATTACTGAAATTTGGATAGGATTATCAACAAATAATCCCAATTCCTTTGCACTTGAGCACATGGATAACTGAAGATAGAGAGCAGGACTGTCAGTATTTTCAGAGACACGTGTGCTGAGGTGCTTTGTAGAATTAAGGTGAGAAATCAGCTACAAGAGATGGCTTAGCATTGTAAAAAAAAGGGTGAGGGCTTCCCTCCCCCTTGGGGAGAGGAGAGGATGAAAACTCATTTAAGAGAAAGGCTTTTTACTGGCCTGAAACGTTTGTGTGTTCCCTTTAGATGTCAGTTTACTCAAAAGAAATAACAAAAAAACAAACCTCAAACAATAAATAATGGAATTACACATTTCTTCATTAAATAGCATTCTTGTTACCAACGAAGTCTTCCATAATTTTCTTCAGTCACAGCAACAGACAGAACAAATAATTTGCCTTAATATAGACTGCAACTAAAATATACTCTAGATTACCTTAGAAAATATGACTGTAAAAAATTCAGTGGGGAAGGACATGGGTTTAGACCGACTTTAAAAAAAAAATGTAGTGAGCGATACCGAGTTTGCTTTTCGTTTCTGTTGTTTGTTTTTTTTAAAGAAAGCAATTTGAAGATCCTGATCTCACGTCACAAAAAACGGGGAAGATTTAATGCTTTCCACCTGCCAGTGTGTCTGTCCTGCCTCAGCCCTGGAAGGTGGGAAGGGCTGAGATTTTTCCTGCTCCAACAGGAGCCAAGAGACACCACCACGGAGAGAGCTCTGACACTGCACCCACACCCTGGGGTTGTCCCTGCCACGGTGCCACAAACCAGAGACACCACCTGGAGGAAGCTCTAACAGAGCTCTACAACCTGCTGAGTGGGAGGAGGCTGGACTTGAACCCACACAGGCTGGAGAGAAAAAACAGTTCAACGTCACCTCAGTGATCCCCTGAGCCAGGAATCTCCAAAATCCCTTACTGTTTGGAAGCCAGGCACAATGGGGAGGGATAATCCTCCTTGCATCCATCCTCCTCTTCAAGGAGCTGCACTCCGGGGTTAGGAGATATTAAGAGGAACTAGCACAGTTTAAGTAATATATATATATATATACCTGCTTCACCTTACTTTTCCTATTTTTAATATTGAATATTTTGGAAGTGATGGCGTGAAATTTAAAAGCCACCACTGGTTCCTTTCATCTCCCGCCTCCACTGGGGTCACTGGTACAAAAACACTCCTGATATCTATCTGAGAGGCTTTTTTGGATGCCAAAAGAAAGGTAGAGGACACTGGCAAGAACCTTATGATGACTCTGTAATGCCTTGAAAATAAAGACAGTGAAACAACTGCACATCTTGGCCCAATTTCTTTCGAGCAGCAAACTGATTTTTTTTTTCCTATGATCAGAAACAAAACTCTTTAACAGCTCTTTGAATACCTAGTAAGAAAACCACATTCAGCACCCAGATTTCAGTACTCCTTTCAGATTAATTGTACAATTTAAACTTTCAGTGTGAATGGGGCTTTTCTTTTTAACGCACATGTAAAACCTTAATAACTTCTGTGCACTTCCCACTCTCTAAACCTGAAACAATTTCACAGCAACCAAAAAAAAAAAAAAAAAAGAAAAATCCGTCACTGCTTTTAAAACAAAAGGGTTTGGCCAATTTCTTTTTTTTTTTTTTTAAAGTGGACACAATTTGGCTGAGAACCCGTAGATAAAAATTCCAACTGAAAGTGAAATAAAGCAGGTTATACATTCATGAAATCCAGGGGGTAATAATGAACAGCAACTCCTGCATCACTTCTGTAGCGTCACATCGACACTACAGAGAGGCAGCAGCTCCTGTTCTCACAAATAATGCACTGAGACTAAACGGGGAATAGTGGGGGAGTCACACATAAAGGGAAAATACAGAGAGATTATTGCACAGGAGGCACTGTATGAGCAACAGAATACACTGGCTTCAAAAAAATCTAAATTTGTTTCCTCTTGAGTGAATGTAAAAAATACAGAGGCCACGCCTCTCTGTAGTGTACTGTCACTGGTAAAAATAGACTTACAAACAGCCACCCATTTAACAGGGAATGTCAGAGAAGAGGGCCTGAATTTTACGGGCATCCCAACTAGAGCAATTAGGAAAAAAATGGTAAAAAAAGCGCCAATGTATAGACCCTCAAACTGAACAGGGTAACTGCAATTTTTCCTTCAACTTCTGAATTCCATTCATACAGTACCCGAGGACACGTCGATTAATCAGCTCTTCCCTCTGTCCTGCAAAGACATCCACCTGGCAGACACGAGGGGCCCAACAGACAGGGCTCTGGAGCTCTTTCTGTCTCCTTTTTGCAGGACTGGTGCCTTGATTTCCGAGCTTTATTTTCCTGCAGCACCGCTCAGCATCCGACTCAAAAGCTTCCCTCGAGGGGCCGCCTTCCATCCCCCCTGCCCGGGTAAGGTGAGAACAAACAGAAAACCAACGGCAAATTTTTTTTTTTTTTTTTAAATGCAACATTGTATAGAAAGCTTGGACCTTGTAAACCTGGACCAAGAAACCAAAAATTAAGACCTTCTAGCGGGTGGTATAAAAAAACCCAAGGAAGTGTATACCTGCCTTCTGACTTCACAGAAAAATCAGAATTTGCATAGGATATACTTTGTGCAAGGCAACGAGCCTCTTCAGTATCTGGAATAGAACTAGACTTGCTCCAGAGTTCTTCTCTTCATGGATATCAGATGTCATCAAATTTGTGTTTTAAGTAGTCTTTCATGACCTTGGCAATGGGTAGTTCGTCAAGTAGTTTGAGGTTTTGAAGGCCTATACACTGACGGATTTTAATTCGGCATAGATCTTGCAAGTTCCTGGGCTGTCCTGAAAAGACAAAAGGAACACACGAAAGCACAATGATCACACTTCAAATATACTTAGAGACATCGATAAAATCACTGGGGTTTGCTGTTTTCCAAGAGGGAGAAAGGGAAGGGAAAAATTACCAGAGAAAAAGGATGGGAGTTAAAACGTTCCCAATTAACTCGGTGAGATCAAGGGAAGAATCCTACAGGCATTTTTACATGCACACAGTTTTCCTGATGCCAGTGCAAAGTGAGATTATCCATGTGAGGATTCCCACCAGGTGGCAACATATGCTTATGCACTGTAGAACAGCCTAACTCCTCCTTTTAACTTTCTGGGGATTTTTTTTTTTCCTATCCTTGTAACAGGGAGAAAAACCCTGTTCCCTTGTAACTTGGGGGGGGAAAAACCCTCAGTCTTGCTTTTCTCTCAAAAAATGGACAAAAACTTTTAAGCTGAACCGTAACAGGACTGGGAAGTTTCTTTAGAAAGTGAGGATTTTAAAAAAGTTACTCAAAGATGGCAGAATTTAAGATTGAGGGTTTTGGTGTTTTTTTTTTTTTTTTCCCCCTTTTAATGAAAAGATGAAGCCTTCAGGCTTTGGATGCAGCCAAAACCTTGTCAAACAAAGAGATGAAAACGTTAGTTAACCACTGTCCACAGGGGAAAAGCTTTGCTGACATCACACAACCTTCAGCATTTCTGGCAAGGATCTTCCCAAGACAATCAGTTCCCTTTCAAACTCTTACCAGCAAACCACTCAAAACACCTTGAGAACCGCTTGGTTCTTGGTCCCCTATGCAAAGGAAACGTTAAGGAAGGTTAATCTGGCCTTTTATCTGAACGCACCCAGCAACGGATCCAAGGCAGAAAGAAAGGAGAGAAAAGAGCAGAACAACAGATATTGAGAAACTCCTGCCCCAATAAACCCTTCCAGCTTTCAGCACCGGTGCCTTTGGGCCTTCCTAACCCAGAGACTGCACACAGATCTATGTCTTTAATAGCTGTGAATAGCTTGCCCTTTGTAAATCTGCCTAATGTTTCTTGAACCCATTCATACTTTCAGT